AAAGTTTATTCCACATGGTGAGCCAGTTGTCTCAGTAGCACTTAAAAAATAATCTATCCTTTCCCTACTTGTTTGAAATAATGTTGTCATATATGAAATACCATATATTCAAGGAGAACTTGATCATTTATTAGGCACACATATATTAAGGACATGGGTTTATCTCTAGATTTTCTACTTTGTTTCCTCTAGTTACTTGTTCTTTAATCAATACCATGTTGTTTGAATTACTATAGCTTTATGATATATTTTAATATCTACAAAATCAATACCATTTCCCTGTTTTCCAATATTGCTTTGGTTAATTATTTTTGTCTTCTATTCTGAGCTTTAAAATTATTCCATGAAGTTCCCAAAACATCTGTTTAGGATTTTGATTAGATTTATGTTAAATTAGTTAATTAATTAAAGGATATTACACATTTGTAAATGATTCTTTCAATTTAAAAGCATAGCGTGTCTCCACATCTAATTCAAGTTTTCTTTTTATGTACATCAGTAGTGTTTTGGCTTCTTTGTCTGAGTCTTGGATTTTTCATCAGGTTTATTTCTAGATATTTTATGTTTTTTATTACAATTGTAAATGGGATTTTAAAAATGTATTTTCTGACCATTATGAATAAGTACTGATTTTTTTGTGCATTACATAACAACTCATTGTACTGAATATTAAGTTTAGATGTTTCCAACTGAGTCTTTTGGATTTCTCATGTAGGCAGTCATGTCACTTGCAAAAAAAAAAAAGTTTAGGGCAGCCCGGGTGGCTCAGCGGTTTAGTGCCGCCTTCAGCCCAGGGCCTGGTCCTGGAGACCCGGGATCGAGTCCCATGTCAGGCTCCCTGCATGGAGCCTGCTTCTCCCTCTGCCTGTGTCTCTGCCTCTCTCTCTCTCTCTCTCTCTCTCTCTCTCTCTCTCTCTCTCTCTGTGTCTCTCATGAATAAATAAATAAAATCTTAAAAAAAAAGTTTAACTCAAAGAAAGAGATAGATGGTTTTATTTCTTTTACAGTATTTGCACTTTGTTTCTTTTTGTTTGCTTATTACTTTGGCTAGAACCTATTCTTGGGAGCATCAATTATACAGTTTTTGCTTCTGGGATTTTATTCATGATCCTATCACTTAGAGGTAGTCAACATTTCAGTTTCAGTTTTCTTGGTTCTCTTTCCATGGAGAGGCGACATACATGTGTATGATAGATGTTTTTGGTCTTCTACTCTGCTGGTTAACAAAGACAATGAGATCATATCTTACATAACATGTAAGGAATAACATGTGGGAATAACATAACATGTGGGAATTACACACACGTGCACACGGGCTCTTTGGGATATGATCCTTCCTTCCCCCTAATATTTTCTATTTTTAAGATTTTATTTATTTAACAGAGAGTTGATGCATGCTCATAAGTCAGGGGAGGGACAGAGTGAGAGAGAGACAAGCCGACTCCCCACTAAGCAGCGATTCTGATACAGGGCTCAATTCCAGGACCCCAAGATCATGACCTGAGCTGAAGTCAGATGCTTAACCAACTGAGCCACCCAGGCGCCTCTCCCCTTAGTATTTCATCTGATTATCCTTTTCTTCAGAGTTCTTAGAGATTTCCTTTGACTTTATCTTCAGATTCTCTATTTAATTTCCTATAGCATTATGTGGTTCAGTGACTTTTGGGGATTTTAACATTCAACAGTATTTTTATCTCTAACTACTCTTTGGCAAGTTGCCAGTGATTCCTCAATTGTCAGAGCAAATGCTGCATGTGGTCCTCTCCCTTAATGGCTCTAGTATACTGACCCCACCCCACTCCTTCTTTGCTCTTTTGGCGGTCACGGTCTTGGCATCCATGACACTATGACCCCTGGTTCTCCTCCCAACTCACCCTACCCCTTGGAGCTCCCCACTTCCAGCCTAGCCACTCTGTTCTCACTGTACCGTTTCTCCCCGACAGTCTCATCCATCCTCATGCCCACTACTCACATAGTAAGTCTTGAGAGAGCTCCAGCCTCATAGCTACATTTAAGGGATATCTCTGCCTGTACGTTTGTTTGTTAAGATTTTATTTGTTTATTTGAGAGAGAGCACAAGTGGAGGGGGGCAGAGGGAGAGAGAATCCCAAGCAGATTCCCCGTAGAGCATGGAGCCCAACTCAGGGTTCAATCTCAGAGTTCATGACCTGAGTCAGAATTAAGAGTTAGACACTTAACTGAGCCACCCAGGCACCCCTACCTACATATTTTAACACCAAACTCACAGTCTCCCAAATTTGTTACTCGTAGTATTCCTGGCACCGTCGTCCACCTACTTGCCCAAGATAGACTATCAGGGGCATCCGAGACATCTCCCTCTCCTGCAGCGGCCCTATCCAGTCACTTCATGCTGTGCATTACACAGTACAAATGCCTATTTCTGTCTTCATTATTATTACTTGCGCTTTCAAGCTCTGTGATCTCTCTTCAGGATATCTCCAGTTGTCTTTTTTTTTTTCTTTTTTGCTCTTCTTTTAGTTTTTTACTCAATGTTATTGTATGCCTTCCCAAAGCACAGACTTAATCATGTCAGTTGTCTATTGAAACAATCTCAGTGGGTCCTGTGGCAAAACAAATTTGTTTAGAATTAGAGAGCATGAAATGCTCTCTATTATCAAGTCCCTTTCAGCTTCATTTAGACAGACGCCCCTTGTCCCAGCACACCAAGATTCTTGCCATTCCCCAAAGAGCCCCATTCCTTTGCACAGACACTTTCCTTTGCCTACAGAGTTGTTTTCCTGACCCCGCTCATTCTTCAAGATCAAGTTCAAAAGACAACGCTGTGAAGGCTGCCTGGATTCCTAAGATAGAGAGGTATAGGATCCATTCTCTGTGTCCCTTTAGCACTTGGTAAACATTCAGGCCCTCGCACATTGTTCCACAGCTACATCCCCTTCAGATGAAGGGGAGCTCAGTCTCTTCTCTACTTACCTTATTCATATCGTACTCTCCCACTCTTTCTCATCCAGCATACTGACCAGCTTGAGTCCCTATCCAGTGAAACCCAGCTACCATTTATTTCACGATTGTGCCTGAAGAGTTAAAAACACACAAATGTGGAATGTAGTACTACCTAGGAACCTTACTACAAACCTATGGTATATTCAATTTCTCACTTTCCAAAATGACTATTTCACATCTTTTTCTTGGTCCCCAAACTTCCTATAACCCGTCTTCCCTTAATGACCTTGCCTCTAATTTGCTGAGAAAATAGGAGTTTCCTCATTCCTCATCATCACATTCTCCAATTCCGTGCATCTGAACCTGTATCTTCTGCATCCGCCAGAGACTGGTCCCTCCACTTTTGGTCTGGATCCTGTCTCTATCCTTTTTTCAGAGTCTTGGCTCTGGCCACGGTCCCCTTTCTCCTCTCTGTCACTTATATCTCCCTTTCTACTGGATCATTTCCACTGGCCTGCAGATATGACTGACTGTCACCTATCTCTTAAAAGTATAATTAAAAAAATTGTTTAAAGATCTCTTGGCTCTTCCTTCCCATCTAGTAACAGCCACTCCATGTCTCAGCTGACTGCCACACTAAAATTTCTTTTTTCATCTTTACAAAATATCTCCAATTCCTCATCTCCTGTCTTACCTCCACCTATTCCAAACAAACCTCAGTCCTTTCTACTCCACTGAAACTGGTCTTGCCAAGTTAACAGTGTCCTCAAATTGTCCAATCACACTGTCACATCTGTGTCCTCCTCTCACTCTACTGTTCACCAGAATTCAACATAGTTGACCCACCTCCTCTTTTTCAAAACACTTTCTGGCTTGGCTTTCATGATACCTGTTCTTTAGGTGTTCCCCTCACCTCCTTGTTCAGGAGGCAGCAAACAATATGAGAGGAGGAAACAGCCAGTACAGAGGCCTTCAGGTGGGAAGGAGTGAGGGTTGGAGGAACAGAAAAAATAAAACCCTCCTCCTGACCCTACCAAGGCCCACCACAAAGCCTTCTGTGGCCTGGCTCCCACCCAGATCTCTGACCCTGCCTTGTCCATCCTCCCCCTTGCTCACCCCTAGTCACATGATATTCTTTCTGTTCCCAACCCTCACTCCTTCCCACCTGAAGGCCTCTGTACTGGCTGTTTCCTCCTCTCATATTGTTTGCTCCCGCCTGCACAACCCTATTTTGTTTTAATCACAGTGCTAGTCACAATTGGACATTTCCTTATGGTTTGGGTTGTTTGTTGCGTTTTTTTTTTTTTAACTCTGTCTCCTCCCTTGAATAAAAAACTTCCTGAAAGTAAGGCTCACACTGTCTTGTTCTCTGTTGGATGCCTAGCCTATAGAACGATTTCTGGCACATAGTAGGTGTTCAGTAAATGCTTGCAGAAGGGATGAATGAATCCTGGTATTCCTTGCAACTGGTAGAGTTCCTGACACAGACTAAGTTCTCCTGTGTTTGCCAAATTAACAGATAAGTTGCTCCAACTGCAGTGTGAACTTCTTGTGAGCAGAAGCCCTGTTTTAAATTTCTTTGTTTGCATCAGAGCACCTAGCATGATGCTAGGGACTTCCAGATGCTTAGTAAATATACTTGTTTGATTTATTCTTTTTTAAGATTTTATTTATTTATTCATAAGAGATCCAGAGATATAGGCAGAGACATAGAGGGAGAAACAGGCCCCCTGTGAAGAGCCTGTTGCAGGACTTGATCTTAGGACCCCGGGATAATGACCTGAGCCGAAGGCAGGTGCTCAACAACTAAGCCACCCAGGTGCCCCTAATTTATTCTTCTTCATAAAGGGAAAGCCAAGCTTTTCAGCTGTCTATTTAATAAACTTCATTTCTCTGAGAGTAAACACATGACACAAGAGGAATGTCACCAGAACAAAGATGGACTTGGGTAGAAAGCCATAAAGTTTGGTCAGCCACTCTTGGCTGCAATAGAGATAAAAGGAGACCCAGCACCTTGCAGTTTTCCTGTCAGAATTCGAACTCCAATGCTGCATTTCGTTTTGGTGAATGTGTTACAGGGCGCAACCTACATCCTGGTGATGGTGGATCCAGATGCCCCAAGCAGGTCTTCTCCCAAAGCTCAATTCTGGAGACACTGGCTGGTAACTGATATCAAGGTAAAAAGGCCAGAAGGCACTTTCTGATTCATTTGGGGTTATAGCTGGGAGATTACCGTTCCGTGCAGTTCTCGGCTCCCAGGCAGGAGGGCTGGGGACTCTGAAGAGCAAGGACTTCTATGTCAGGTTGCGGCGCACCCCCCAACCCCCCACCAGGTGTCACAGCCCTTTCCAAGTTTTCTAACAATTTCGGAAAACATCCAGATCAGTTGTGCACAGGTAAACGGGCTCTCAGGATTAACCAGATGGGGAGAGCCCCAATTTGTCATGTTTGCTGATTTCTGTAAATACTTCCACCATGGCCAGTTTTGAGTTCCTGATATTTTAACAATTAACTCACAAATTTTCTGGAAATTTAACAATTGGCTCCAGCATTCCATAATTAGAGGCTTAGATTTGGAAGCATGAGGGTGATTCTGTGCAGTCCAGGTCAAGACCTGGCCAGAAGGAGTCCTGCAGGAGCTCCTCTTCCTGATGGGCCAAGGGGCATTGGGAGGCATGGAAATTTCCTTTCCTTTGTACAGAAACGAGTGGCCTCCCCTCATCTGTGTTCCTTTACCATCGCATAATTGTGAAGGAGCCTGGCTCATCCCTTCTGGAGCAGGTCTGAGGAACAGAAATCTGGTGTGCCGTGTTAACAGGCATTATGTAGGGGAAGGTAAAAGGTTCTATTCCCAAACAAGTTTTGGAGACTTCAGGTTACACCGTATCAATCCCATTCCTCAACGAGGTGTGTTTTAGAGCTTTGAATATTCTAATGTGCACTATATAATATGCATTTATTTTCCAACCTCATGTGACTCTTTAATCTTTTGTTCACGAGTGCCTGGCCGCACACTTTGGGAAAATTCATGCTTGCTAGCTTCAGCCATCCATGCATCTGTGCCTAGAGAGTTCGCGGATGGCCTTCTCATAGTGTGCAAAGGCCTCAAGCCGTGAGACAGTGGGAATCCAGAACTAGAAAGACTAAGTCTGGATCTAGGTTTGGCTGGTTCCCAAATCAATGATCACCATTAAGTCCCTTGGAGTCCCTCTGGGCGTTTCATGTTTATCTATAAGATAGGAACCGTGTCACCTCCTCTATATAGTTATCATGATAATCCAAGGATGAGAGAGCATCCTGAGAGGACTTTGGAAAACATAGTGCTGCAAATGTAAGGGGTTTGTGTTTTTCCTTCTACCACTATGGGCCAGAGGGAGGGATATAGTGTGAACTAGCCATTGATTCTCCTGAGCAAGGCAGGGGCTCTCACATCTCCTAGAGTGGAGGTCTTGGGGAGGAAGCTATCCTGTCATCCAGCCCCTGCCCTGTGACCACAGGCCCTTCACAGGATGCTCAGGTCGAATCCCCATCCTCAGAGGCAGTGCTGAGCTTGGAAGGGGCCTCTTCCAGGGAGGCTTCCAGCAGTGGCTTCTTGGACAGTGCCCGAGGGAGAGCAAGAGTGCTGCTTCAACACACTCCCCTGACCAAGCAGGCCTCGGCCTGGTGAAGAGCCTCGAAAATACCAGCAACATGCAGAGGGGCAGAGCTGGGGGATTTTCATGCTTTTAGGGCAGGGAGAGTTGCCGAGGGCACGAAAAGGAAAGATACTGGCTCCTGCCCCAGTCTAGAGCCTTGACATTTCCTGTGCTTGGCATTCCCTGGCAGTCACAAGGGGGCGAAGCTCTCAAGAAAGGAGTATCGCTCCCTGTGTAGTGCACCTGTGTAGTGAATAGTGCAGGGATAGTGCACGGCCTCACACACCAGGCTGTCCAGAAGAGGGTTCTACCGGGCAGTTCTGAGGCAGATTTCAGGACCTGTGGTGGATGGAGTAATTTCAGCATCGAGGGCCCTTGGGGGCAATGAGGCTGCCTCTCTTCCAAGCCTGAAGCCCCCTCTCCCCCTCCGCCCTGCCGCACTCCCCTCACCCCAGGATGCACTCAGGACAGTTCTGTTACAGACGCATGGTGACACAGTCATGGGTTCTCAGCAGCCCAGCTGGACAGAGCAGGTGGCAGGTGGCAGCTGTCCGGCAAGACTGCTAAGCCGCAGAGCTTACCAGGGCCACCTGCCCGGCTGTGGCCCTCAGCCTTCCCGCTCAGACCGGAGGAGGCTTGGGTTTCAGACACATTTTCACCCACTTTCTCTGATCCAGGGGTCCAGCAGGAAGCAGCAGCTCTCCTCAGCTATATCCACTCAGCCTGCCCGCCAGCCCCCAGATCCCTCCAGCTGCATGGCCAGTATAAAAACCAGGCTCGTTTAGGTCTCGGGCCAAAAAAGGGGAGGCTTTCATCAAACCAGAAGCACTTCCTTTGTGTTGGCGTTAGCCGTGGCTGAGCGGGTCTCAGACAGTAGAGCACGTTCCAATCTGCTGGTAAACGTGTTAAAATGCAGATTCCCAGGCACCACTTCCGTCAGTCTGGGGAGAAGGGAGGTGAGCCAATTGAAGGAAGACCACGGAGCTCAGAGTCAGAATGCCTTGGTTGCTACTGTCATCACCCATCTGTGGAGCAGTTTTCAAGTGACAGTCACTTCTGACACGTCCTTTGGATCCCCACAATCGCTTGGTGAACTAGGCATTATCCCCATTTTGTACGTAGGAAAGCAAGTCTGGAGAGATGGGGTGATGCAATCTCTCATCTAGTGGGTCCTAGAGGTTGGGGCTTCATTTCCAGCCCCCCAGCTCCAAACCACACACCCTTTCTGCCATACCACGTGGTCTGGTTCACACCACATTTCTCCCAGCAACTCCACGGTGGCAAGAGGCATCCCACTGTGCCCTCTCTGTAAGATGGGAAACAATCTCTGTGGTTCCCCTGCCATTCCAGGGCTCTCTTTCTGATTCCCTCCTATGGATAGATGCTTCCAGGGAACCTGCTCAGGGAATGCTACCTTGGGAAGTCAAATACTCCTGGTAGGCATTTTGAACCCTCCAGTAATTTTAACACTTAATACGTTAGGTTAAAAGTAAACCCTACATAGTATCATTACCCTCAGCAGTAAATGGCCTCAGCAGTAAGGCACAGCAAATGTAGAGTAAGGATTCCCTGTGATTCACAATGACCAGGTGGAAGCCAGGCTGGTCTTGATGTTAGGGACCCAGGCCTAATTGGGTGGTGGGTGGGGCTGCGGCCATGGGAGCCCCTCAGTAAGGACAATCTGAGGGCCATCTGCTCAGGTTGAAACAGCAATCGGTTCTTAGGAATACAGGGAACATATGCATCCCCCTGACCCCAAAGAGAGGCTGACAAGAGTCTACTGTAGAGTGGGATAAAGCTCTAGATCTGTGGGCCGCTTGTACAAAAACAGGAGAGAAGTCCCTCAGTAGGAACCGGGCATTCATGCTACCTTTGTTCACTGAATTCAACCAATATGGATTGATCATTGTTTGCAAACAAACACAAGAACTCTGGAGCCAACCTACTGGGTTCAAATCTGAATCCACCAGTATCGCTATGTGATCTTGAGGGGCAAGAAACTCACCCCACGTCCCGATATGCTCACTTGAAAAGTGGGCCTATCTGTAGTCCCTGCCTCACACCGTTGTCATCAAGTTCAAATGAGCTCTTTTAAGTAAAGTGCTTAGGACAGTACCCAGAGCACATAGGAAGCTTGTATAACATTATTTTGCCGTAACATTATCTTTTTTGTTCCGACGTCAGGCGTGACCCTGGCCCTGCGGTTACAGATGCGCGCATAGCAGGGCAAGTCTTTGCCTTCCATGGGCTTCTGCTCTAGTGAAGCAGAGGAAGGAGGCTACAGCACAGGGAGGAGGTTACAGGGGCACCAGGGGCTCTCGCAGGATAGAACTTCCCACAACGATGGGTTCCCATCAGCTCAGAGGCAGCACCAGGTGTGGGTCCCCTAGGCTGGCCAGACCACCACAGGCAGGGGCTGCTAGAAAGCATGCTGTCCTCCACCCCCTCTTTGAGAACTCTCTCACTGAACAAAAGAGATTTTGAACAGAGCGTTGACACCTAACATCTCTCTCCTCTTAGGGCCACGTCCCCAGCTTTTTCTTGAAGATGTTTTTCAGTTCTGATTCAATCTAACTAATAATCTTTGTGCTAAAGCCTAATTAAGCTATCAATTAATCTGCATCATTCATTTCAGAAGAAAAGCTTATTGGTTCATCCTCTATTTGTCTCTGAAATTAGTGCTCAGAGCTTTTCATGCAGATATTTTCATTAGACTTTTTATTGTTAATGGGAATATTGAACACAGGAAGATGGTATATTAATACCTTCCACAAAGAATATCATGACTGGTGACAAAGAACACTGAGAACAATTAAGGAGACAAGAGTACCTTTTTTCTTCCAAAAAAGAAAATCTTCCTAGAAACCGTCAATGATTCTAAAATTTGCCCTGAATATCTTTTTTGTTTTAAGAAAGAAAAGCGAAATGGCAAGTTCATGTTTCCCTTTCATTCAGTGCCCTCAACCTTTGGCAGCTGTAAGCGCAACCGATTCTGGGTGGAATTAAAAGGATCTCTAAGAGTCCATTATTCTGTCGACTTTTCTATAAGGATTGAATTTTTCCATAACGAAAGGCTGTTTTTTTAAAGGACCCCTAAGTGTGTCAGGTAAATAAATGGGAAACCAAATGAACGGGCAAGGATTTTAGCTCTTTACTTTTCAATTACGCATTTAGCACACGTCAGGACACATCTGCTTGAGTAAGTGGTCCCACTGCTGAGCGATCTCAGGAAAGTTACTTGACCTCTCTGAGACTGTGGCTTCTTGTCTGTAAAACTGACACAAATCCTTCCACTTCAGGGTTGTGACAGGAAAAGGAAATTACATATGCCAAGAGGGAAAACCTTTCTAGAGAGAGGCTCTTTAGAAAACTGGCAAATTTATCGTGTTCCTAACCAATTGAGCAGCAGATCCTGTAGAAATTTAAATACACTGTGTGTGTGTATATGTGTGTATGTGTGCAGCACTGGAATATTATATATACCCTGATATTGCATATATTATGCAATATATATATATATATATTCCAATTCCAACATCTAT